ATCCCAGCACCCACATGGCAGCTAACAACTGTCCGTAACTCCAGTCCCAGGGGATCCGACAGCCTTTTCTGTCCTCCAAAGGCATTGCACGACACGGGTGCACTTACCTACATGCAGGCAATACACGCATACACAAAATAAAAATAATAATAAAACAATAAAACTAGCATACAATCTAATAAAACTATTATGGAACAATAGAATCGCCAGGCATGGTGGCGCATGCCTTTAATCCCAGCACTTGGGAGGCAGAGACAGGTGGATCTCTGTGAGCTCAAGGCCAGCCTGGTCTACATAGTGAGTTCCAGGCCAGCTGGGGCTACAGGGAGACCCTGTCTCAAAAAGACTAAAAAATAAAACAAGAGAATCTTGCTAGCCCCTCCAGAATCATTCTCAGTGGTTGTCTGCCAAGGCCATCACCTGCTTCTTCCCTGCCCAAGAGTAAGCATATGGACTCTGTGGTACTCATCGCTATACTTTCAGTTTTATTTGTAATCAGATGTGCCTCCACAAATGCAGAGTTTAGAGTTGCCTGCCTGTAGCACCTGTGTTTGGGGTAGGGAAGCAAATTTTCTTTCAAATATATAAGCTCTTTGTTCCCCCTGCCTCCTTGCTGTCTATTGAAGAAACACCAGATTGCCTGTCTTCTAGTTGCCCTCAGTTGGGATTTTTGTTGATTTTATTTCTGTGGTATAGTTTCAACCTTTTTTCCTTCTGTATCAGGGTTTTGTTTTTTTTTTCCTGTATCAAGTTTTATCAGAAATAATGTTTACTGTTCTTTTTGTTTTGTGGGTAGCCATTGCCATGCGTTCCTTAAATCTTTAATTCTCCATTGCACAATAGTGATATTCCAGTTCTGTAGTGCTTTCTCTGTTTGTATTGCTTGTTTGTTTGTTTTGTTTTTGGTCTTTTTGAGATGAGACAGGCTCTCCCTGTAGCCTCAGCTGTCCTGGAACTCACTGTGTAGACCAGGCTGGCCTTGAACTCATAGAGATCCGCCTGCCTCTGCCTAGTGCTGTGATTAAAGACATGTGCCACCACGCCCAGCTGCTTTTCTTTTTTTAAGATTAAAAATACTGCTATCATATAGATATATATGAGTTTGTGTGTGTGTGTGTGTGTCTGTCTGTCTGTCTGTCTGTCTCAGGACAACTTTCAGAAATCAGTTCTTTCCTTCCAATATAGGATTTGGAGATCAAATCCAGGTTATCAGGTTTGCATAGCAAGCACTTTTACACACTGAGCCATCTCAGTAGCTCATTTGTAGTACATTTATAAAAAAAACATTCAATTTGATGTTTAGTTTTGTAGTGGTAAAATTTATATAAGAGAAACAGGATAAATGCCTTTTTTTTTTGAGACAGGGTCTCTCTGTAGCCCCAGCTGGTCTGGAACTCACTGTGTAGAACAGGCTGGCTTTGATCTGACAAAGATCCACATGCGTCTGCCTCCCAAATGCTAGGATAAAGGGGTGTATTACCATACTTTCTGTTTTTAAAATAAAGTTGGGTTTCTAATCATTTTCCAGAAATAACCAATTATATATTTTAAGTATATATAGTCTTTTTGAAGTATGGTCTCCCTGTAGCCCCCGCTGTCCTGGAACTCACTATGTATAAGTATATATAATTTTGAATTCATAGATTTAAACATTTGGTATGTTTATATCTGTTACAGATGCTGTCTTTAGTGGCACTCAAGTTGTTTTATTTTGGGTAGTGGTTCACATATCTTTTTGTCAAATACTTCATTTTTTTATATGTATGAGTATATTGCCTATATGTCTATAAGTTTACCTGTATCAGACAATGGCTACAGAAGCCAAAGAGGGTATCCGATCCCCTGGAGCTGGAGTTACGGATGGTTGTTAGCCGACTTATGGGTGCTGGGAATCGAACCCAGGTCCTCTGCAAAAGCAGCCAGTGCTCTTAACTGCTGAGCCATCTCTCCAGCCCTGTGGTTCACATATCTTTTTAACACGATAGCCGTTTTAGCACCACAATCTGGGTTCTAGGAATAAATGTTCATTGATACTGGTGTGACCATATTTTTAGATCTCTCTAGTAGACAGAGCTAAGAAGTTTTCTCTCTCCCTTCCCTCCATGTGTATGTGTACACATACAAAATACCGGATGTAGATACTGGGAGAAATGTGTTGTTAGGTAATTTTGTCATTGTATAAGCATTATAGAGTATGATTACATAAACCTAGATGATAGAGCCATTAGGCTCTATACACATACTGTATACTGTCATATACATCGTCTATCATCAACCAAAACATCTAATGAGCAATAGTGGCTACCTGTAATCCCAGCACTCAGGAGCCTGAAGCAGGAGGATAATGAGTTTGAGGTCAGCCTGGACTACGTAGTGAGATGCTATCCTAAAAACAAATAAACCCCTCAAATCCCCACATCTATAAATAGTATATGACTCTCTCTCTCTCTCTCTCTCTAAGAGATTTGACACCTTCTTGTGACCTTGTGGGCATTGCACAACACAGGTGAACATATACGTATGCAGGCAATACATTCATACACATAAATTTCTTTTAATTAAGAAAAAAGAAAAACACATCATCTATGTGATTATTAAAAATAATTTTATATATGTATATCATATACGTGTATGAATATACACACAAATGTGCACTATAATACAGTTGAGAGGCACTATAATATAGCTGAACAACACATAGTGGTGGTCAAATTAAGAGTCCTTTAGTGGGGCGTGGTGGTGCACGCCTTTAATCCCAGCACTTGGGAGGCAGAGGCAGGAGGATCTCTGTGAGTTCGAGGCCAGCCTTGTCTCCATAGTGAGTCCAGGATAGCTGGGGCTACAGGGAAGACCAAAAAAAAAAGAGTCCTTTAATAGCCTGTAGTCAAGAGGGTGCTAACACTCAAAAGAATTCTGGACCCTGAGGAGAAGCAGGCCAAAGTTTATAAAATTTTAAATCACAGTTACATCCTGCCAGGGGCAAACACAACAACCATAGTTAAATCAGATCACCATAGTTACACCAGACCAGGGGCAGGTCAATTAAAAAAGAAGTTTTCAGTTAACAAAAAGTTTCTAAGTTTTAGTTAGGAGAAACAAACTTCTCAGAATTACAGAAACAATGGGTTCCATGGGATGCTGGGAGGAATGTGCCACCTGGCTAGTTGCAAGTTTCCCAGTACTATAGAAACAATGTACTCCCAGAAACTGCCTATATGAGAGTTCTAGCTGAATGATTGCAGTTAGCAAGCATGGGATGCAGGGGGTTTGGGGCAGAAGAAACACAGGATAAAGCAAAAGCCAGCCAGAACAAAATGGAGTCAGTTTTGCCATTTCCTGCACGTCAGGAGGAAGAGAAGGAGGGAGGGAGGCAGATTGCATCACGTGAATAATGAAGTCTAGTGAAGGCCAAGTATGGTGGCATGTGCCTTTAACCACAGCACTGGAGAGGCAGAGTCAGGCAATTCCTGTGAGTTCCTAGCTAGTCAGGGCTACATGGTGAAACTGGCTTTTTTTTTTTTTTTAATTTTTAAAAATGATTTATTTAATAACAACATACTTAGAAGAAGCATATCATTACAACACAATTGAATAACGGTTTCCTGAGGTAGGATGCATCTCTTTCAAAATTGGCTGTAAATTTTTAGGTTTACAGTTGAATTATTACACAGGCAGCGGCCCGCCAGCAATGCTGGGCTTCTCAGGACGACACAAATCTGGAGAAAAGCTGCCTTGAATAATGAGCTCAAAGCTGCTGAAAAATAAGAACTCCACTGGTAAACCAAAGCCAATCCCGCGATTGCAAAACCCACGTCGCTGAGCTCTGCCTGCCAGAAAAGGGGAATTCTCTAATTTCTTTCTTTGGGACTTTATAGCAGCTCTATTGAAAAATTCACATACCACATAATTTGCCCATGTAAAATGCATGATTCAGTGGTTTTCCAAATGTTCGCAGCTGTGTACACCTCCCGGTTAGTGATCATTACTCTCCTTTTCCTCTGTCCCCCTCTCCCCAGGCAGAGGGAATCTACCTTCCATCTCACACCTTGCCTGTTCTAGACATTTCGTAGAAATAGACTCTCATAGCACCTGGCCACTGAGAACCGCTTTCTTACACCCCCTGCTCAGGGTTCATACATGTTGTAGCATGTGCCAGCACTTCATTCTTTTTCATAGCCAAATAATATTCCATTATGTGGCTATACTGTATTTTCTTTATTCCCTCTATGACTGACAATGGCCCGTGGGTTGTTTCCACTTGGACTATGATGAATCACACTGCTGTGATTGTTCATGTACAAGTCTTCATGTGGTTTCATGTTCTCATGTCTCTTGGCTGTATACCTTGATTGCCCCTGTCTGTTTTTTTTTAAAGAAAAAAAAAAATTTTTATATCAACCCAGAAAATTACTCATGTCCACTTGCAGTGTGTGCCACCATACCCAGCTCACCTATGATTTTTACCTCTACTGGGGTTTTAGAAGAGTGATAGAAAAATAATGGGAAAGCTCTTGGTGTCTGGGAATGGAAGAGGTCCAACATCAAGGTCTGGATGCCCAGGACCATATGTGGAGTGAAGACCACCGCCACCCCTCAGGGAGGTAGGAAGTCTATTCTAGAGAATCAGTCCAAGACCAGAATCTGCAAGTAGCAGAAACATCCGCTTACCCTGGTCTCCAGCATAAGCCCAACACAGAGGCAGAGCCATTGCCATGTACAACCTGGGACTTCTAGAGTGAGGGGTGTGGGGAATGTAGCCATTCAAAGGCTGAAACTGCTCCCAATATTGGGCAGTCTTCCATTGTTCAGTCTGTCCTCACCAGAGGAATGTGGAACTGTGGCTTGCTGTAGGGGACACTTGTGTTTTTAAGATGCATCTGTGAAATAACATGTAATCAGCATATATAATAGCTATAATAATTTTCTGATCATTTGCAAGTTTACAGTTCTCATTTTCTAATGTACCTCTTTTATATAGCAGTCTTTCATTTTCTTCATAGGATTTGGTGGCCTTTGAACATCAGTGGACAAGCTTTTTTGCTAATTTTGACACAGAAATTCCTTTCTTGCTGGAACTTTCTGAATCTCAGGCTGGTGAGGTATGTAAGTACAAAGTCAAAGAAGAAAAAAAAAATCAGTTAATTATGTGTTTTATTTAAAAATTTCAGCCAGGCATAGTGGTGCACACCTTTAATCCCAGCACTCAGGAGGCTGGTGGGGCGGCGGGGGGGGGGGGTGTGGGGGGAGCATTTGAGACTACAGGGAGAGACCCTGTCTCAAAAAGACAAAAAAAAAAAATTTGAGATTCACCACTGTGCTGATTTCTTTTGGTTATCACTTCCATAAACTGTACTATATATCATAAAAGAAGACCTCTGCCGTGCTAAAAAAAGTTATTTTGGAATTGGGGGTGTGGCTCAGTGGTGAGGACTTGCACAGACTGCTCAAAGCTTTGGGTTCAATCTCCCATGCCCCCCAAAGAAAAACAATGATTTTTTTTCTTATACCAGCTTTTTAAAAAAAATATTTTTATTTATTTATTTATGTATTTATTTTGGTCTTTTTGAGACAGGGTCTCCCTGTAGCCCCAGCTGTCCTGGAACTCAGAGATCTTCCTGCCTCTGCCTCCCAAGTGC